TAAAGGGTATTTTCTGAGCGTCATTGGTTAGAGGTGTGTTGTGAAATGGGGATTTTGGATTTCTCAAAATAGCTCTTTGTTTCGTTCCAGCCGCTTTGGCGCTGGATTTTGCCACCTGGCGGGGCCGCTACAGCGGGATGATGATCGCTGTGGCGGGCTCAACGCGACTTAAGGTCGTTAATAAACCCCTAAACGACCTTATTATGCACTTTTCGACTTTAGAGCTAAGGAACGCACCACAGGCGACTCCTGCTTATTTTTCACCATTCTTGAGGCTAAAGGTAAGCTTTTCACTCCCCGAATCCATTTTTCGATCCGTAGAACGTAATAGAATGGGTGAATATTTATGGGCGAGGGTTTTGTTACAGATTCTATGGTGGAAACAACCCTAATTTGGATAATTAGGATCATAGTTTTGATCTAGGATTCATGGAATTGTTAGTTATTAGGGTAATTAGTGATTATTTATTGATTCCCGTATTATATTGATTGTTTGTAGATCCAGAACAAGTAGAACGAATTCGGAAAGGGAACGATCAAGTTTCTTAGGGTTTCAAGCTTGTTTCGAGGTAGGTGATGGTTGTGATTCTATGATTGTGTGATGTATGTTTGTTCTTGTTTCATTATGATACTTGTATATGTATGAATGTTGCAATGTTGATCACACTTATTGTAAATGAGATAGATGAATGATGATTTCCATGAAATCATAACTTAAATGTATGATCTTGATGATATACTTGTGATTGTGATTGTCGTGTGTTGAATGGATCGGTTGCCACATTCCGACATAACTAACTTGGATCGGTTGCCATATTTCGGCATAACTATGGGATTGATTATCACGTTCCGGCATATTTATGGAATCGATTACCACGTTCCAGTATGCTAACTGTTTGGGTTTGGGTTCCATGAGAGGTCCAATGATTTGATATAAAATGTGAAGTTGTTCATTGTTCGTAAATGTTGATAATATTGTATATGTTGATATATATACATGTGATTATAATGTTGTCTTGACTTGCTTATGTTGCACTTAGTGGGATAGCCGTGTGATCCTACCATTACACTGTGGTTGTGTACTCATACTGCACTTGCTCTTATTTTTGTTGAGTACAGGGCATCTTCAAGCGGCTACTGACATACCTTGCTTTGAAGATCACTGATCGTTCGAACTCAAGGGTGAGCCAATTCTTTCGGGCTGCTATGAGTTCTCTTTCGTCTCTGTCCACCATTTTCGGACTTAGACTATGTTCTATTAGTTATTAGTACATTAGTTGGGGGTTGCATCCCTTGCTTTTTAGACTTGATTCATTGTTAGATGTTTTGGTACATTGACTATTAGGTTCTAGGTTGTTTCTTCCGCATTGTTTAGTTTTGTTAGACTTTGGTTGGAGTTTATGGGAACTCCCTATTTATTTCCTTAGTATTTAACTTGCTTCCATAACTTAAATATCTTAGTTTTTAGATTAGTTGCTTGGTTTGGGTTGTAGTAGTGGTTCTCCCACCGGAGAGTTAGTGTGGGTGATTTCCTTAGTATCTAACTTGCTTCCGTAACTTAAATGTCTTAGTTTTCGTTTAGTTGCTTAGTTTGAGTTGTAGTAGTGGTTCTCCCACTGGAGGATTAGTATGGGTGCCAATCACGACGGTCTAGATCGTGACAAGCTTGGATCAGCTTGTTCGTAAACACATGGGGTAATGAAGCCATGTATATGGAATTTTCCAAATGGCTAACAGAATATGTAAGTGTGCAAGCTTACATTGAATCAATAAGTATTTAATAATGTATTCATGTTATACTAAATTATATTATTTTAAACAACAATATATAGATTTACGATGAATACTCAAATGTCGAACATTTGCAATTAGTGAAAGAAGTTGCACTTGGATCTGAATCTCAAATTCAGACAATGTATAAGTATTGTGTCAATGGTTTTAAGTTTCAAACTAAAGACGTTTCTAGGAATAAGAAAACAAATAATAGCGGTGTATTCATACAAGGTGATGTTGATGGTACTGGTCAAACTATTGAATATTATGGTGTCATTCATGAGATTATTGAAGTAAGGTATTCAGGTTGGCCTAAGAAGAAGATCGTATTATTTCGATGTAAGTGGTTTGACCCATCACACAGAGGCATAAAAGTGGACCAACAACATAATATAATTGAAGCTAAGCACACCAGAAAATACAGAAGTTATGATCCTTTCATCATTGTACAAAATGCTAAACAAGTGTATTACGCTCTATATCCATTGCATAGAGACAAAGCTGATTGGTGGGTGTTATAAAGACTAAACCTGTGGGAAAAATAGAAATTGACAATGTCTTAGATATGGCGTACCAAAATGAGGTTGCAATTATTCAGCAACAAGTTGATGTTGAATTGGAAACCACAATAGAACATCCTCAATACATATTAGAAGAAATATCTGATGATGAGATAATGATAAATGTTGAGGAAGATATAAATGAGGATGAGGAAAATGATTCATTTGACGACGAAGAATATGACAATGAAAATGAAACAACTGAGGAAGAAGAATTAGAGGCTGATGGAAATGAAACAAGTGAGGAGGAATGATCAGTAGAATGATAGACTATATAGCTAGTATGTAAGTTATTTATTTTTCTAATACTAATTTTATTTAATTTATGATTTTTATATATTATCCATGTAAATTTGCATATAAATGTTATCAGGGGTGAGGGTGATAGATCTCGCGAGCATCTTGGAGTTAGCCAGCCTAGTAAGACTAAAAAGAAGAAGTCTAGGAGACCTATAGATTCTAAGGATATTCCAGGAATTTTTTCTTCTGTCTCGGGGCGTATTACTCATGATATCCATTTATTGGTTGTTCCGTTCGGTACGGTGGATCCTCGAGCATATTATCCTAATTATCGCCGATCAGTTGGTGCTTCCTCTACTTCATAGTCATTGCCCCACGGTGCTACGAGGACCTACATTTACATGCTACTCGTCGAGCACGACCCTTATCGGCAGGTAGGTCTTCGGTTGGTACTCCATCTCCCTCTCCATCTCCCACATGTACATCTCCTCAGCTATCTGCCATGAGGATTAGAGATTTTAGTAGTGAGCAGTCAAATGTTGTGGCCAGTACACCTCCATTGACTCAGCATTATGTGTATTATGGTGTATCACCTACACCTACACCTAGTGCTACACCAGATGATACATCTGCTCTAGCACCGGGACAGAGGGACATGATTGACAGAGTTATGATTGAGCCGGATGGGTCATTGTAAGTTTGTTTTTTCATCTATTTGTTACTTTATTTTACTTATTGGAGCATTTTTAATATATTATTCATGAACTAACATGTTTATTATGTCTTTTGCAGGTGGCATCCTGCGAAGGATGCTGCCCGAGCTTTAAAAGACTCTGTGAGAAGACTTTTTACACATGCTTATCACTCCTGGAGTGAGATCCCAAATAGTTTACGGCAGGCGATGTTTAATAAGTTTAAGGTAAACAATTTTTCAGTTAAGTTTAATAATTTTAGTATACTTTACTTTTTTTTAATTATCTAACAATATTCATATTTTTCAGACTATGTGTACTTGGAAACCGAAGTTTAATATGGTAATTGCTACCACATTTGAGAGAAGGGCATCCGTGGGACTGTCTAGCTGGCTAAAGAAAGCCTGGGATACTGATCAGTGTCCGAGTTGGATGTTGCCTCACGTGTTAATGAATTGCGCCAATATTGGAACAAAGATAAGTTCAAGGTGATGTCCGAACAAGCAAAAAGGCTAGAGAAAGTCTTAAGGGTGGCTCATTGCACACTGGAGGTGCAAAGAGCGTTGGAGCAATTACAAGAGATGGTAAGTTCTAATTCAAACTTTTAAATAAATAATTAGTTGATTAATATCGTTATAATAAAATTTTCATTTTTATTTATAGGAAAAAGAAATGGGCCGCACTCCCCTTGTACCAGAGGTTTTCAAGAAGACTCATATAAAGAAGAAAGAAAATGAGTCAGATCCGGATGTGTGGGTGGAGGAAAGGGCCGAACGAACTTTTGTAATTTATTTAATTAATATGAATAATGAATATCAATAGTGAATATTTCATATATTGATGCTAATTTTTATTTTTATTATACTGGGTGAGTATCACCAATACGTGAATGAGAATCTATATAGTTCGGTCCAAGTGATACCTGAACTGTCCAGTCAAATTTGGACAGAAAAAGTGGTAGGGGGAATACACAAGGGTAGAGTCTATGGTCGAGGCTCTCGAAATGATGTACGCCAACTCGTGTTAGGCTTAGAAGGTATTGGATCGTCATGGCAAGCCGAGGCAATTGACGGTGTTCAGATCGCTGCTATGTCGGCACAAATAGAAAAACTGACAGCAGCACTGCAAGAGTCTGAGCGAAAAAGAGTAGCTGAACAAGAAAACATGAGTGCGACAGTTCAGCAAATCAAAGAACAAGTGTTGAACCTCGCTCGTTGACCTACATCTACATCGTCTCCTGCCGAGGGCACTGACGACAACATTGAAGAGGATGATGATTAAATAGACTTCACTCTTTGATTATCTTCTATTGCTTTAGTTTTTGAACTCTTTTTAAATTTTGAAACAAATTTTGAATGACTTTATAAGTTTTTGTATTGTGATTTAGATATTTTTGAAGATTGATTTAATTTTGTTTTATATCTTGTGTAGGATGTTTAGATTGTATTTTGTTCGATTGGGCTGGTTAAAATTGAATTGAATTGATTTATATTTGCAGGTGGGCAGCAGAACAAAAAATGCAGAAAAAGCGACGGACATGGTGTTTTAACACATATATGTTGATTTGTTTTTTAAAAAAGACTAACATAGTTTAAGCAATGAAACTCGCGAAAAAATAATAATTTTTACATTTTTCTTTCTTTAATTATTAAAATATGTTTTAAAAAAATGCATCATAATGTACACATGGCAGTAGATCCTTTGCATTATTGATTAAATTGTAGAAAAAATATTTGACTTTAGATATTACACAGACTACAATGTGCAGCAGGTAGCGACCGCCTTATTGTCCCCTTTCAAATCACCAGCCATCTCTGCTCATTTCTCCAATTCCATCTCCATTTTCAATCAAACAATGGATTTAACTAATCCAGAATCATCACAAGTTATTTATGATGTTCCAATATTTTTTAAAGTCTACAAAAATGGCCTAATCGAAAGGTATCGAAAACATGATTTTGCCCCTCCTTCCAATAATTCCGTCACTGGTGTTCGATCTAAAGATATCGTAATTGTACCGGAGAATAACGTTACGGTACGTCTTTACCTGCCAAAAATAACCCAAAATGACCAGAAATTTCCACTCCTGGTGTATTTCCATGGAGGTGGATTTGTGATTGAATCGGCATTTTCTACTTACTATGATAGTTATCTCCACTCTGTAGCTGCAGAAACAAATGTAATTGCTGTATCTATTGAGTATCGATTAGCTCCGGAGCACAAAATTCCTGCGTGTTATGATGATTCATGGGCTGTTATGAAATGGGTCTCTCAGGGAAGTGAACCATGGCTGAAAAGTTATGCTGATTTCTCCAGAGTTTTCTTGTCAGGTAAATAAATTGATTTTTTCTTAAGTTGTTAGTTTAAATTTTGCAATCTTTATATTTTATGTTGTAAGTGTGACAAAATCAAACCCAATTTGTTCAATCTGATCGCCCAAAGTTACAGCCCTTGAGAATGCTGAATGCCAAGGCATAAGAGCGATGGAATTGACCAAAGGGAGCCTCGCCAAGCCCGACTTACTTCGCCGAGTGACCATTCACAACACATTTTTGGCGACTATAAATATATTTTTGAAAATTTAGTTTAGTATCAATTTTTAATCAGTTATCAGTTTTCAATTAAGTTTTTTTTAGCTCTGGAGACAGTTTTCTCTAGTTTTTCCTAAGCTTTGAAAGATTGAAGAAATTCACTTTTGAGAAATTCAAAATGGGTCTTAGAGCAATGTAAGGACGAAATCACTCTTAACATGTTGATGGATAATCAATTTGGTAACGGTTTTTACCTTTTTAGGGTGTCTTGCTAAAACCCCAATTCTTGGCGTGTGATTCTGTGATTATGGGCTGATTTAGCTTTTGGGTATTGCTAATTGTTAGTTTGAATGCTATTTAGGAGTAAGTCTAATCATTAATTGCGGTTTAATTTAAGAATTGTAGTTGTAAATGTAGTTCTAGCTTTGTGTTCTTGGCTTGCTGAGAGAGAGAGGTTTTAGAACTAAGGTTTTTGATTGATGGTTTGTGGGTATTGGGTTAACCTGGGTTCATCTAGAGAGAGTGAATCCTAAACCTAATTCCACACATTCAGCTTGAGAGAGTGAATGGGTTAAGGTGTGGGCTCGTCTTATTTTGCATGCTTGTTGCTATTCGAGAGAAATCAACTTGATTCGGGGTAAATTGTTCAAGAAAAAGTTTACCTCCTCTATAGCCTAGTCTACTCACTAATATCTAGCTATTTTCTAATAGTTGCAATTACCTATTTGACTATATTAGCCTATAATCGATCACATCCCAAAAACCTGTCTCATTATTGTTAATTCGTATTGTTTGCCGCTGTTTGTAGTTGATAATCAAAAGCAAAACCCTCCATTTGACATTTGTGTCAACCCCTGAGTTGAATGATGTCTTTATTCGATAATATTTATTCCTATGACTTATGTGTCCATGTTCATACTTCTCAATTGACTCTGAAACACGCACCACTCCCTGTCGGATTCGACCCCAACTCGTTTAGTTGGGTTTTATACTGATTTACGATCGTTGAAAACCTAGAATTGGATGAGGTGTGCTTGAAACGTATATCAAAAGGCTCTTATGATATGCGAACATATCTACTTGAACACCATACAAGTAATGTCTCCGAATCTTTAGGGAAAATACTATACCTACAAGCTCGAGGTCATGAGTCGGGTAGTTCTTCTCATGGACCTTAAGCTGTCTAGAAGCATAATTTGTGACCTTACCTCGCTGCATCAAGAAAAAAACCTATGCCGACCCTAGATGTATCACAATAAATTACATACTCGTCTGAATCATCTGGTAGAGTAAATAAAGGGTTGTAGTCAACCTAGTCTTCAGTTCTGAGAAACTTTTCTCATACTCATTTGGCCATTGAAATTTGACCTTTTTCTGAGTCAACTTGGTTAACGGGGAAGCTATGGATGAAAATCTTTCAATAAATCTCCTATAATAACCGGCCAAACCAAAGAAACTTCTGATATCTGTTGGAGAGATGGGTCTGGACCAGTGCTGCACTGCCTTAATTTTTTGAGAATCCACTCGAATCCCTTCTCTGGATACCACATGATCGAGGAAAGTGACGGACTGTAACCATAATTCACATTTGTTGAACTTAGCGAATAACTGGTGATCTTTGAGAGTTTGCAAAATAAATCTCAGATGAGTCGCACGATCCTCCTCTCTCCGAGAATAAATAAGGATATCATCAATAAAAATGATAACAAACAAGTCCAAATACTATTTGATCACCCTGTTCATTAATTCCATGAAAGTTGGAGGAGCATTTGTTAGTCCAAATGACATAACTACAAATTCATAATGACCATATCGAGTCCTGAAAGCTGTCTTCAGATTGTCACTATATCTGACTCTGAGTTGATGATAGCCGGATCTAAGGTCTATCTTAGAGAAGCAACTAGCACCCTGAAGTTGGTCGAACAAGTCATCTATCCTGGGGATGGGATACTTATTCTTGATGGTGACTTTGTTCAACTGACGATAGTCAATGCACATTCTGAGAGAACCATCTTTCTTTTTCACGAACAACACTGGAGCACCCCATGGAGAGATACTAGGTCTGATGAAGCCCTTATCTAGAAGGTCATTCAACTGCTCTTTCAATTCCTTAAGCTCGGCTGGAGCCATTTTGTAAGGAGGAATCACAATGAGCTGGGTATCTAAGAGGAGATCTATTCCAAAGTTGATTTCCTTTTTGGGAGAGACTCCGGGAAGATCTTTTGGAAACTCATTTACTATCGCGACTGACTCAAGAGTTGGGGTTTAAGAGTTTGAATCCTTAACCCGAACAAGATGATAGAGATACCCTTTAGAGATCATCTTTTTTGCCTTAAGGTAAGAGAAAAATCGACCCATAGGCACTGAGCTACTACCCTTCTATTCTAAGACTGTTTCATTTGGAAACTGAAACAAAACGATCCTAGTTCTACAATCGACTGAGGCATAACATGAATGTAACCAATCCATGCCTAGAATTACATCAAAGTCTACCATTTATAACTCTACAAGATTTGCTGTGGTGAATTTCTGAGAGACTTTGACAGTGCAATTTTTGTATACCCGTCTAGCTTTAATTGGGTCACCAACTGGTGTAGAGAGTGAGAAGGGTTCTGAAAGAGATTCTGGACTGACACCAAAGTTTACTTCTATATATGGAGTTACAAAAGACAAAGTAGCCCCTGGATCTAACAATGCATAAACATCTAAATTAAAGACTCGTAACGTACCAGTGACCACATCAGGAAAATCTTCTTAGTCTTGGAGAGCCTGAAGAGCATACAACCTATTCTTGAGTTGACTGCCACCTATACTAGATGAAGTACCCTACTGAGTTGGGTGACCTAATAAGTAGCCGATTCGGTTACCAAACTATTCCCGCATGATTCTTTTTCAATCCACCGGCCCGGAGGGTTGGTAAGGGCGCTAATATTGACTGAATTGAATTGAGTGCACCCTCACCTTTTATTATTATTATCCTACGTCGAGCACCTTGCATTGACATCGATTGATAAGAGCCCTCCGTATACTATACTTACTTCACTTACTTCGTCAAGATGGCCAACGTCTACCTCGAGCAGTAAGGACAGAACCGATTGGATAGTTGATGAAAGATGCTCGCATCACCTGACCGAGTCAGTTTATTTACGGAAGTCTGAAGGTACGAATGGTGCTGCTGGAACTATATTATTGTTACCTTATTACCTTTTTCCTCGAAGAAGGGCAATCCTTCAACCTATGGCCAGACTGACCATACCCAAAGCACCCTTCCTTGCCTGCAAAACACTCGTCCGGATGGTTCTTACCACACTTTGGACAGGTTGGGAAAGTCTTGTTACCTGAATTACTCATCTGAGACTTAGAGCCTGATGCCCTACCTTTCTAATCCTATTGAAACCTGGGGGATGGAACTCTAGCTGAGGAAGGTGCTGGGGATGTAGACCTCTGCTGAAACTGTGAGCGGTTCCCACTACTCAATTTTTTGCTGAGAGTATCCATAATTCCCTGTTCTAGCCTTCTTGTTGTCTTTAGCCATTTCCCTAAGCTTATCTCGCTCAACCTGTAGAGCATTAGTCACAAGCCTAGAGAGATTCATATCCTCTAGCAGCATAGCATTCCTGCACTCTATCTTCACCAAGTCGGATACCCCAAATAGAAACTTACTCATTTGTCCCATTGGATCGGGAACCATATATGGAGCATACCTGGAGAGCTGGGTGAACTTAAGTCCGTATTCTTGGACTAACATGGTACCTTGACTCAAATTTATGAACCCCTGAGCTTTAGCCTCCCTCAATTCTCTTGGGAAGAACCTATCCAGAAAAACTCTAGTAAAGCATTCCAAAGTCATAGGAGCTGCATCCGCACCCCTGTTTTCTTTCCACTGAGTGAACCATATGTGAGCCACATCCTTAAGCTGGTAGGATGCTAACTCCACCCTATCGTTACCAGTCACTTGCATCAGTCCAAAATTTTTCTTAACCTCATCAATGAAGCTCTGTGGGTCCTCACCAACTTGTGACCCTAGAAAATCAGGCGGATTCATCCAAACACTCAAACTCTAGCTTCCATAAATCCACCATTAATATTAGTAGGATTTGGACCTATTGATTGTTCTGGTTGTCTACACTCTGAGCCAAGAGTTGGATCGCATTCCGGAATTCTACATCAGTAACCTCATGGTCCGAGACCAAAGGAACTACGTTAGCATTGTGTTCATTAGCATTCCGTGCATAAGTTCTAAGAGAAGGCATGATCACTAAAATGCATAACGATGAATTAGAAAGGAGATCATACCACACCTCCGCACGATAAGAATAGCAAGAAAGTAAAGTTTTTCGTAAAACTCTTCGTAGCCTCCCTCTCATTAAATGTGGTGCACTTCACACTAATGAAAGAGACTCTACTGAGTGCAGATTTCAGACATCCTAGGACTCTTGAACCTAATGCTTTGATACCAAGTTTATCATACCTCGAGGCTACCTCCTTAATGTAAACACGAGACATAGGATCATGAGTGACCCCAAGCTAACCCTGAAACTGGCATGTCATAAGCATAATAAATCAACTGAATAAAGAGATACTATACGGAAGCTAAAACAAGAGATAACTGAAAGATGGGGAATACCCATACTGATCTGAATATATATATATAACTACTAAGAGTTCAACGATACTGAACATTCACTCAAATCTAAAGCTGGATCTAATACTATGACTGAAAAACCGCTACTGACTAAAGTTGTTGGGACATGCCCCCAACTAACTCTAGAAAAACTGAAAACTGAAATAAAAGACTA